AGTCATTTTATTTATTAAATACTTTTTCGAAAAGCATCACATTTTTTGTTAAAAAATAATCTTTAGATCCCTTTAAAATCAATTTATAATTTAAATAATGTAATGTTAAACACGAAATATTTTTTGGTATGTTTATAATAATATTTTTGACTTGTTTATAAACATTCTCTTCGAGTAAAAAAACTTTTTTATCATGTATTTACATGCTTGTGCAGGAAATAATATTTTTTCCATACCACCTTGCCGTAAGTATATTGGTGTGTTGTTTTTCAAGAAAAAATTTACATTCCGTAACAATCCTTAGTTTAAAAAAAAACTAGATAATGTGACATAGAATTTAGTAAAATTCAATAAAAAATACCTTTAGCACTGTAATTATCTTTGCTGATATATTTTTTCTTCAAGTGGTTTTCTACGCCTAATTCCACTCGTAATAGATATTTTATATAATAAATATTTTTATTACTAAAGGAGACTAGTTGAGAGTTTAATTATTTGAAAAGTTTTCAAGTTTACTATGAATGGTAAATATTGAAAGAAATAGCTATTCTAGAAGTACTAAGCATAACTTTAAATAAATTTTACTAAATTCTATGTCACATTATCTAGTTTTTTTTTAAACTAAGGATTGTTGCGGAATTTGAATTTTTTCTTTAAAAAACAACACCCCAAGATACTTACGGCAAGGTGGTATGGAAAAAATATCATTTGCTGCACAAGCATGTAAATACATGATAAAAAAGTTTTTTTACTTGAAGAGAATGTTTATAAACAAGTCAAAAATATTATTATAAACATACCAAAAAATATTTCGTGTTTAACATTACATTATTTAAATTATTAATCGAATTTAAAGGGATCTAAAGATTATTTTTTAACAAAAAATGTGATGCTTTTCGAAAAAGTATTTAATAAATAAAACGACTATTGTAAAAAATGACGCTTGAATGAATGATAAAAGTAAAAAAAAAAAAAAAAAAAATGCATTCATGAAGAATCGATGGCATATTGGTCAGATTCTATACGCGGGCAAAAGACGTAGCCCGCTCGACCAACAACGAGTATACCCCTCCAAGATATAAGATTATATTTAAGGTGTTAGAGTGAGGGGAGCTTGGGTTAAAGGTGAAGGTAGGGGGAGCTCTCCCTCCACTGCTAGCTTGGTCGGAGAGAGAGTAAAACCGTTGTGCGCATGCGCGAGAACGCTTGGTTGTTAGAAACACTGGTTCTTAATGAAACCCTGTTAATTTCTTTGGATTCTTGGTTACGATATACAATACTGTCGGCAAAACTAAGCTACCTCCGTAGAATGATTTAAAAAATTACTTTGTTTACAAGAGTAGTTACCACTACTTTTAAATACAGGGGTATTCGAATATAGCAAGCATTAAAAAATCTTATACATAATTTAATAATAACTATGACGGCAGTAATAATGATATAGAAAATAATTTCAAGAATAATAAGAATAGTAGTCATAATAAAGTTCATAGTAAAAATCGTCTTGCAAATTTAACTGTTAGTCTGATGGCACTAGAGTCGAATCATGTTAATGAAAAACCAAATTGTACAGCTAATGTTACTTTTACTATTTTGTAACATTTGTTCATGATAGTGTGCGTAACTGTTCAGATAGGCGTGTAGTATTCAGGTTTTACGATAGAATGTAGCTATCGATGTACATGACCCTTTTTTTACAAGTTGATGAACTACATAATTATAAGAATTGTTATCGGTATCTTCCTACTGCTTATTACTTTGTGTTGGTGGAAATCAACACACTGATGAAAATTTTCTGAAGGTGTATTACACGAAGAAAAAACTTTATAAAGTTGTTCTCACATTTCAATATTCTTTTTTAAATTCTAATTTTCTTAGTACTGCTACAGAAATCAGAAGTTAGAATAATGATTCATCATTTTTTTTGTTTTCTATCATAATTATGTTTAATACTTTTTTTTAATTCTTTAAATATTTAAATATCTTTGCAAGATTTAAACTTCCGATATCTGTTTGGTATTGTAAAAAATAATTTGTACCATATTTATGAAAATAACTTCATTCTTTTTTTTTTAATATTACAAGTGTAAAAATCTTATGCAGCACCTACATTTGTGTATGTACACACACTTGTTACTGAATTGTTGAAAGATGAAAATTCAAAGTAACAGTAAGAAGTATTCAATCAATATAGTTTTAATATTAAAGTATGACTCCAACGGCAATGCTGCCCAATGGTCTTTATTTATTTATTAAAGCAACGTTTCGGCCACTTTAGAATGAGGCCCTTTTCAAGCAAATTATATCACAGTATACAGGCTTTACGTGATCGCTTACATTTGTCGAGATCTTACTTAATTGACTGTAGCCTGTAAGCGACTCGAACATACGTATGAATACGAATTGAGTATGTTCGAGTCGCTTACAGGCTACAGTCAATTAAGTAAGATCTCGACAAATGTAAGCGATCACGTAAAGCCTGTATACTGTGATATAATTTGCTTGAAAAGGGCCTCATTCTAAAGTGGCCGAGACGTTGCTTTAATAAATAAATAAAGACCATTGGACAGCGTTGCCGTTGGAGTCATACTTTAATATTGCAATATCCTGCTGTCGTCAGATTCATAGTATTACAAATATAGTTTTAAATTTTTTCATATATTAATATGATGTTTTTTTAGATTATTCTGTAACAACACGAAACTCTTATGTTTTATAAAAAGCAGCAGCTTACCTTATTTATGCATTTCGTAAGTACGTTTTGTCAAACTAGGCAGAGTGACTGTGGAGCAGCAGCAGATTGCTAGCGCTAGCATAAACCGCAGCCCATGCATACATGGATCACTGAGAGAAGGTTATGTAAGATAGCACAATACATGGTATTGAATCAGCAGATACTTCTAAGCATCTTGGCTACAGCCTTTGTATTTGTTATAACTGGACTTGTTCAAAGCATGCTCAATTGAAAGTGTCTAATAAAAACTGATAAAAAAAATTTTTGTTGATTTCTAGTCGGCTTTTGCACTCGGAAAACCAAATAAAACACAACCAAGTTTAAAAGTCGATGTTTCTCATATCTACTAACGATTTTATTAGTTCTTATATAAGGGAAATTTTAGAAGTAGCTGAGTAATAAAAAATTCACCATCCACACATATACCAATGTTAACACAAGAGTAACCACTCCATTGGTATCCATCTTGACTCCATCTTACATTGGTAAGATCTAAGCAACGTAGTCATTGTTATCTACAAATTAGTACTATATTCTGTAGTTAAAGATTATTAAATTATATCTTTTCCAATTATTTTTACGTAACAGTCGTATCGTATTAGTATTTCTTGCAGAGTATAATTACTATTTCGTAGTTCTTAACAGTGTTTCTAACAA